TAATGCTGTTGTGGTACTATGTTGTGGACGGAATCCGTGCTGGTGGTTGGCAACTGTATAGCTTTCTCTAATGCTGGAGAGGAGTAAAGCCTCAAGAGTCTTTGCTACTGGCGACAAAAGCGAAATCGGCCTGTACGATTCGCCTTTACTGGCATCCTTGCCTGGCTTCAGTAGCGGGACCACCCGGCCCATTTTCCAGGTTTCGGGCACTATGTGGTTGGCTAGCGACAAATTAAGAACTTTAGTTAAGTACTCAACTCCCGGCGTATCCAGCTGCTTCAACATTACCATTGAGATTCCGTCTGGGCCCAACGCTTTGGATGACTTAGCGTTTCGGATGACATTTGCAACATCACCCATCGTAAACTGTGGTGGTTCCTCCTCGGCGGGAAGAGATCTGATACGACGTAGTACTCTTCGCTTCGCCCTATTGGTCTCGGGGTGCTCAACAAATTGTCGATTAAAATATTCCGCGCACCTCTTCGGATCAGTCACCGTTACGTCGTTAAAAGTGACTGAGGTCCTATCATCCTTTTTCCAGGGTTCGAGAGCGACTTAACCGTTACCCACAGCTTACTCATATCGGTTCCAATGTTGCAGCACTTCAGATGGTCTAGCCACTTTTTCCTCTTATGCTCCTGTACCAACCGGTTGACTTCCACTGTCAAATCACTGATTCTAGGATCAGTAGGGTTGGTACGACGGAGATCATCACGCTCGTTTGCTAATCCCGCTGCCTCTGCTGGGAAGTTTGGTCTTATCTCGGGTATTCGACCAGCAGGTATATAGCGAGCGGCTGCAGCTCTGATGATGTTTCGGAAAATCCTTTCTGCTACCCGAACATCAGAAGGGTTGGGCAGTTCTCTGAAGCGGCGGTTGGTGAATTCTCAGAACTCTGGCCAGTGAGCTTTCCCATGGTTAAGGAAAGTGCGGCGTTCAGAGGTTATGAAATCGGGCGACCTGCTTATGGAGACGATTATCGGGAGATGGTCTGAGCCATGAGAAATGACGGGTTGCCAAGTCACGTCATTTATCAGACCGGGTGACACTATGGTTAAGTCTGGCGAACTGTGACACTCTCCTCTTATTCGGGTGGGGGCATCCTCGTTAACCGTGCAGAATGTGGAGCAGTCAATCTGCTCTGCCAGCGCTGATCCCCTCTGGTCATTACCTAGGACGGAATGCCACAACTCATGGTGGGCATTAAAATCCCCTAGTACCAGGCGGTTATTGCCTACCAATAATGGGCTAATATCAGGCAAATAACGCGGTTCACAGCTATTAATCGGCGGGATATACACATTAAGCACCTCTACCTCGGCAGTTTCACACTTGACTGCTACCCCCATACATTCCATGTATGGGTCACTAGAGACTAGCTCAAGCAAGATAGGTCTGTACTGAACAGAATGGTGTAACAGGAACGCTAATCCCCCACCTCCACTTCTGGTGCGATCCTTCCTTAGTACGTTGTAACCATAACAACGTTGTAGGCTGCAATTTTCATTCAGCTTGGTTTCCTGCACCGCTGCGATCTTAATATTCCTCCGACTCATAAATTCCACTATCTCATCTATTTTGCCTCGAAGTCCGTTGCAATTGAATTGCAAGAATGCTGCACAATCCGGAGTTGGAACAGCGACATGTGGCGTTAGGTGCTGCGGAGTTGGTTGCTGTCTGGAGACTGCGGTGGAGTGCCATACTCCGACGACGTCTCAGATGAGGACGACGAAGAAGTGGACTCGCTGGGGACTACGTTACTGCAGCAAGTCGCAACATAATCCCTTTCGCTGTAGTCTCGCAAACGCCTTAGTCCGGAACAGTTCTTGAAGTGCACCCATTCTCTGCATCCATTACATCGCACCGAAACAGATCTGTGGTGGATGACGTTCTGACAAACCGAGCAGAACCAAGGTCCGGGGTTTTCCTCAATCCCGGCACGGACCAATAAAATCCGGAGCAAGCATTCCGGGATATGCTGCTCCCAATGCAGAAAAATAAACAAACACAAACATGTACATACTGGGTTGGCAGCCGCTGGCCGAAACTGGGATCTTGTTGTTTCGGGTCAATCCGGTATCGTAGAACCCGCTGCCGTGGATTTCTGTGGAGGACATCGCTTTGTCTTATGTGAATGAGGAAATATTCATTGATCAAGAGAATTCTGAAATAGAGGAAAATCAGCATTGCGAGTTAAATGATCAAAGTTTATATTCCAAAGACTTAATTTCTGATCAAGAAATCTCGTTAGATATTGACGATAATGATCCTGATGATGAACAACATACTGAAGTGGCTTAACAAGCATAACGTAGGACCCACAACATCAAGAGAATTAATCACCATATTACATCCAATGCTATCAGAATCATGCAATACAACCATTCTAGGTAAACTTAAATGTGACGTACTTCCGATATCAACGACTATGAGTAGTTCAAATAGTAACGAAAGCATTTGTAATTTTTGTCCCATTAAAATTATAGACTAACAAAAGCTGCCTGTGCAATTTGTAAACGGAGTGTATGTGTAGAAAATTATATTGAAATGTGTATACAATGTGCACATAAAATTTTAAGGTTATTATTAAATTATTATTTATGTTAAGCAAACTCCCATTTAGTTATATACGATTGGAAACATATGATATATAGAGGGTGAGAAAAAAACTGCAACCAACTTCAGACTGCTGTCTTCTCTAAGCCACTCGTCCGATAGCTGTTAAAATTATTCGTAATGGAATTCAAGCGTGATAGTGTGATTTCTTTATTTTTTGCTGGAAAATCACAAGTGGCTGTCGTTAGAGCACTTCAACATTTAAATGTGAATAAATCTTTTGTGTCTCGTACCATCGCTCATTACCGTGATAATGGTAGCGTGGACGGACGTCAAGGAAGTGGACGGAAGAAAACAGCAACATCTGCAGAAATGGCTCGAAAAGTAAAGAAGCGACTTGATCGAAACCCGCGTCGCAGTGGCCGAAAAATGGCTTGTGCGCTGAACATATCGCAATATTCCATTCGGCAAATATTGAAAAATGAGCTCGGGGTAAAGATATTGAAATTCAAAAAAGTGCAAGAACTTACACCGCAACAGAAAGAAAATAGACCCAAAAGAGCTAAAGAGTTGCTTCGCTTGGCCGAAAGTGGTTAACTGCCAAATTTGGTTTTCTCCGACGAGAAAACATTCGTTGTCCAGCAGTTTGTAAATAAACAAAATGATCGTGTTTACTTGCCAAAGAGGTCAGCTAAAAATGTGCACCTTCGATTGGCCAGCAGAACTCAAGCGCCGGCCATGGTGATTGTGTGGGCCGCCATAACAACCGAAGGTCGCTCTCCGCTCGTATTAATCAAACGTGGCATCAGAATAATTGCCGAATATTATCGCGAAAATGTTCTGGAGGGTGTATTAAAAATTTTTGGCCGCAGACCTTGAACATTCTAACAGGTTCATCGCTTCATTTCCAGCGCACAATTTCAACAAAAATCTCCGGATACCAATCCGTTGGACTATTGTGTCCGGAGTATTTTGGAAAGCTAGGTTGGCATTAAAAAAATACCAAAGTATCGATCACCTCAAGCAAGCGCTTCGCCAGGAATAGGCCAAAATACCTCAGAACAACACTCGGGCAGCGTGTGATGGTTCATTGGCCGTTTGAAGGCCATAATTCGTGCCAAAGGTGACCAATTCGAACAAATCTAAAGTTATTCTACAATTTAGTGCTATTTCCGATCAATTCGAACAAATCTAAATTTATTCTAAAATTTGTTGCTATTTCCGCCATTTTTATACCCTCCACCATAGTATATTAAGGGTATACTAAGTTTGTCATTCCTCGAAATATACAATTTAAGCCCCACAAAGTATATATATTCTTGATCAGCATCCGTCCGTCTATCCGTCTGAGGAAATCACTCTAGCTTCCGAACGAATTGAAGTAGATTGATAAAATTTTACTCAAATGTATAATATGTCTGTAGGACTTTTGGTATTGAAAATGGGCCATGTATGTCCACGTTTTTGTATAGCTCCCATATAACGGTACCTCCCGATATTCGGTATTTTGATGATTTTAGTGACACTATTGATCGGAATTGTTTCAAATTTGGTATTTGATGTTCGAAATGGATGCTACAGCCTATGACAGAAGATTGTTTGTGCAGGTCCACATCTTCGTATAGTGCCCATATAACGGTACTTCCAGATATTCGGTATTTTGATGATTTTAGTGACATTATTCACCGGAATTGTTTCAAATTTGGTATTTGAAGTTCGTAATGGATACTAAGCCTAAGACAGAAAATTGTCTGTGCAGGTCCACGTCTTCGTATATTCGGGTTTTTGATGATTTTAGCTACATTAATCACCGATTTTTTTAAAGTTTTGCATTTGAATATTGTGATGGCTTTTGACAAAAGTCACCTATGCAGGTCCATGTGGTCGTATAGACCGTACTATAACAGCTACATTTGGTATTTTTAATTTTTTTTTTTTGAGAATTGCCAAATTCGTTCCTAAACTTATAGTTTTTTTACTTGTTTGCTTTCATTTAATAAATTTTAAAAAATGTAAAAATTAGGCGTTTGACTTTGTTGCATTTTTTTATTTCACCCGATTATTCGATGTTCGATTTACTTCAAATTTTTTACATACCATTATTTTTGTCTGTATTAGATGAAGTATAAAAATGGAGTACTTTGGTCCGCTATATCTGTTACCTCACGCATATATCCACATTTTCCAATAATTTGCATATATCTCATATGAAGTATAGGAAGTACTCGATATAGTCCAAATCTGCCACGATGTAATATTTATATCAGTCTTAAGTCAGATACGAATTGGTCTGTATTGGCCAACTGCTTCGGAACCTTCCACCAAAAAGGGTCAACAGTTTGAACGGCCGGCAAACCCGACTGATACTACTTTACATGTTTTATTTTCGATTAAATTTTATTTGAATAAATTTCATCATTTGAATATATATTTTTTCTAAAACACGTACATACATACAAAATATTCTTATAGCATAGTTCAATAACGTATTAACTCACATTTATATTTAAGTAAATTCCTTTTTTACTTTTACTTTGTTTATGTGTATTTCATATAATTTATATATTAAATGTATAATAGTTATAATATTTCTTTGGTATAATTTTATTTTTGATCTTAAACTTTTCGTTTTTGTTTTCTTAAATAAGTACACATTTATTGTATTTTGTTAATATTTGATTGTTATTCTTGTTTCTATACGAATTATTGTCTTAAAACTAAAAAACACGTTTTTTTTGTTGTGGTTATGGACGTTGGTTATTTTTTAAGTTTTAATATTGGTCTTATTATATACGATTTGTGTATATAAATATATATTTTTTTTGCTCGAATTTTCTTTAAAGTATAAAATAGTAGCGTTTTTTGGCCATTTGGGATTTGTCTTCACATAGGAAACATACATACAAACTAAAATGCGTTTTATTTGGTTCAAATTCAAAAAAACATCGTTTACTCCAACACTTTATAAAGTAACTGCAGTTTGATGTGAGGCGACTCCACATTCAATATCGGTTGACCAAACTCATCAACATATTTATTGTAATACTGTTCCAGTAGAACTTCAAATCCATTTGATTTAAGAATTTTCTGAGAAAATATTCCGGTGGCATCTGCTTTCATGACCTATTTGGAAAAAAAATTAAACAAATATAATTATACTCTTGAAGAATTGCAAACAAAAAACAGCTTACTTTAAATCCACATTCCTTGGCTATATCTTGACTGTGCCTTACCAAATGTTTGGCTATACCCTGGCCCCGATACTGGCTATCCACTGATAGTATACGTACATCAAATGCCTTGTCCACATGGAATTTTTGAAAAATGTCATCCTTTAAGTTTATTGTGTATAAAAGTCGAAATATTTTCTTAAATTTCTCATCATCGTTAAGTTCCAATTTCTTTTGGGAAGTCTCTATATCACCAGGATGTAAAATACCATTCAAAATGACACCTGCAATCTATAAAAACTACTTTGTAAGTCAAAGTGGTAATAGTTTAAATCAAAGCTGAGATAGTTATTACCTCATTGCTTTCTGTAACAGCCATCAGACTTAAATTATCTTCCAGCGTTTCCAAACTGTGATGTTCCAAGTCGCGATGACCATAACCACGTCGACAAAGGCCAGCTGCTTTGTTCAATGGCTCATCGGCAAAAAAGTTATCCCTCAAATGTCGTATTACGTCATCATAACGGTCTTCCGTTATTAGTTTGTATTCCATTTTAAACGTTGTTCCCAAATTACGAATGGATAGTTTAAAACGTTATTTATGTTTCTAAAAGAGAAAGAATAACACAATTGAGCATTTCAATAATTGCATTTTGGAGCGCAAAAATGAAAGAAGCAGAAAGATGCAAAATAAAAAAAAAAAAATACTTTTCATTCACGATTTCCAATTGTATTTTGACTATTAATATATCATCTCTATTGACTAGTCTTTTGTAAACGCAGGACAATGATTAACAAGCTAAAGAAAAGAGCTAAGTTCGGCCAGGCCAAAATTTAAATACCCTCCACCATTTGAAAGGATCTTGAAAAATTTTAAAAAATTTCGAAAACTTCCACTTAAATGAAAACCTTTATAAGGAAACTATACGAAGACGTGGATCTGATTACGAAAGTTTTTGTCATAGGCTGTAGTATCGTGAACCTGCATACGCAATTGCCATAGCTTGTATTACACATTAAGATCTTCCAATACGAATTTTGAAATAATTCCGGTAAATAATGTCGCTAATGTCGTTACGTTATATGGGGCTATACGAAATCGTGGACCGACATGGCCCATTTACGAACTTAACCTGTCTACTGGTAAACTATGCATGTATGCTAAATTTTAGCCTTCTATCTCAATTCGTTCGAAAGAGAGCGTGATTGCAACAGACAGACGGACATCGCTAGATCGTCTTAGAATTTTTACGCTGATCCAGTATATATACTTATGAGTATTTCGAGGAGTTACAAACGGAATGACAAAGTTAATATACCCTCCATAGAATGGTGGAGAGCATGGTACAATAAGGAGGTAGAACAGCTTCGTAAAATAACAGAAATACAGCCCTGAGGCTATGCCCGCTTTCTGTCAAATTTGCATGCAGCAAGTTATTTCCATTTATTAAATATTTTTCTTCATTTTTAAAATCAGTTAAAGAGCAGGAAAAGTGAATGAAATGCCTGGATTTTCTATGAAAAACATGATCTAAACAGTTCTATCTTCAATTCCAAAGCAACACTAGCGAATAGCTAGTGCGCGTCTCGCAATTTACGCGTCTTCTAATCATTGATTTTGAAAATATTCTATTTCTATTTTTCAAAACAATATATACATACACAAAATAGGCAGAAGTCGGGCACACTTAGAAAAAAATGGTAATCAGCTGGTAGCTCTACCTTACCTTTTTATTGTACCATGGGTGGAGAGTATAAAAAATGGATGGGAATTATGGCTCAAAAACAAATAAATTGTTTTGGAAAGTTAAACATGGTAAAATTAAGGAGGTAAGGTTATTTCAAAAAAGCATCTCTGCATTTTTATACTCTACACCACAAGGTGGTCAGGGTATTATGTCTTTGTGCATTTGTTTATAACAGGCAAAAGGAAACGAGATAGACCAATAGTTCCTTTTGATGATCTACATAGAATCACATTCTGAGTCGATTTATGCATGTCCGTCCGTCCGTCCGTCCGTCCGTCCGTCTGTCCGTCTGTCCATGTATTTTTGTAAACAAAGTACAGTTCGCATTTATTGCCCTAACCAGATGATATTTTGCACAAATCATTTGTTTGGCTCAAGGACGAATCCTATTGAAATTGAAGATAATCGGTCAAAATTTAGATATAGCTCCCATATATATCTTCGTCCGATTTGCCTTTTATTGTGCACCAAATGTGTAATATCAGTTCGAATAGTATGGAATTTTGCACGTACGATCAGATTGGATCTGAAAATATGTATGCTAAATTTGATCGAAATCGGTTCAGATATAGCTATAGCTCCCATATATATAGTTCATCCGATTTGTTATTTTTGTCCTCCGCAGCCGTAATATGCACTCTGTAACAACAATATTTGGGGAAATATATCAAATACAGCTCAGAAATACATTTGCTTAAGTTTATCGAAATCAGTTCAGATTTGGATATAGTTCCTATATATAACTTCGTCCGATTTAACTTTGATTGTGCACCAAACGTCTAATATTTGCCCAAATTGGATGAAATTTGGCACTTTCGACCGAATTGAGTATAGAAGCTAGTATGTCAAATTTGTTGAAGATCGGTTCAGATATAGCTATAGCTCTCATATATACTCTTCATCCGATTTGTCATATTTGTTACCCACAGCCGTAATATGCGCTCCGTAAAAACGATATGCAGGGAAATATATCAAATACAGCTCAGAAATATCTTTGCCAAATTTTATCGAGATCGGTTCCGATTCGGATATAGCTCCCATATATATTTTTATCCGATTTCCAATTAATTGTGCACCAAATGGGCAATACAAGTCCGAATTTAAAAGATACAAATGCTTCGGCATATTTAGTCCTCTCAACTTTAAATTATAATTATAATCATAGCGTATATGATTAAATTCTCCCATAAAAACTTTTAATTGTTATGCGCAGTTCTACTAAATTAGCAAAGTGGTGTAGGGTATCATAAAGTCGGCCCCGTTCGACTTTAAGACTTTCTTTACTGGTCTGTAATTTACCTTGTCACAATTCTCTACATAAACAAGTAAAAAACATTAATTTCGGCCGAGTCAAACTTTTAATATCTTCCACCTTAGGATAAAGGAAACATTAGAGCCCATTATGACCCACAAATACCAATTTTTAGACATATTTGTGGGAAATGTGCCATCAAAATACCGAATATTGGGGGGTACCGTTATATGGGAGCTATACCAAAGTGTGGACCTATACATGCAATGTTTCGCCACCGGAGCTAGAACCCATTTTGACCAACAAATACCAATTTTTAGACAAATCCGCGAAGAAATGTGGCAAAAGTCATAAAAATACCGAATAACGGAAGGTACCGTTATATGGGTACTATACCAAAACGTAAACCAATATATCTCATTTGCAATACCAACCATCCTAGACACAATACAAATTGTTTTGCTACATTTTGACGCTCTACGTCAAATAATATGTTGTAAACATATGTTTTCATGACTTTACCCCCTTGATTCTACCATGAATTTGAAAAAGTATCAAAAATAATAAAAACAAGTAAGCAAAGGCTATAGTCGTGCGAGGCCGACCATGTGATACCCTACAACACTACAACATGTTAGAAGCCCTCTTATGTCCTAATCCATTTTGGAAGATTTCGGTTTTGAAACTATGTCACGCAGATATTACCCTTATCATTTTGAACAGGACGTTTGCCCAATATTTACGAATTATGTCGTGTTGTTAGTTGTCCTTATCGCTCTTCCCAGGCATGTCGAATGGCTTCAATTGTGTATCAGGATTTTTTTCTGTTTTTGGGTCATTTGAACCATCTCCAAAAGCAAGAGGCCCCTCTGGATCTCCAAATTTGGACTCATCTATATGATTTTCTTGTCTACGATATTTGGCTATCGTCAGATATCGCCTGTAAGTAATGCTGGTATTATTTACACAAAGTAGTGGTCCATTCTACCCAGAGTCCTTAACTTTAACTTCATGCGAGATTTTGTATCGTTTGGTTACTATTTGTATTATAACGGCTGCAAAATCAGGAACATGTTTTGTTGGTCAATTTCAACTCCTAAAAATATTCTGCGGACATCTTTGAAAACAATAGGCCTAGCCATTCTGAGCCTAACCCTACCCTTTTCGTGAGGATCTGATAATTACAATATATATATACAATATCCCCAACCTGTGTTGTAAGGTGAAAAAATATTACAAGATATACACTTTAATATTATAAGTCAAATTGAAAATCGCATGCGATAAAAAATATGAAAAAATAAAAATATGTCACAAAATACTAAAAAATCTATATTAACTACATTACAGGAGTCTTTTTATGCGTTTTTTTAGATTTTATCCTTTTATGCCATGAGGGCATTCTGGATTGACAAAATTTGTAAAAAACTGTCCAGCCATTCTTGAGATATAAACATTCTAACTAACATCCCCTTCCTTTGTATACACACATTGTGTATATTTCGCTATATGTACCCGAAATATTTACTATTGGCATCTACATAACAGTCAGGATTGACCTGTTTGTCTATTTGTGATTTCACCGGGATTAAAAATATTCGCGGTTTAATGGAAAATTTGATTTTATTTAACTCAAATGTCGCAGGCTTTTTCATCCACTAAATATTACACGATGACGATCAAAATTGGAAGACTTCTGCCCAGACCTAAGCTCTAGCCCCATGCTAACTTCCGCGTCTATTGGTCTATAATTGCGACCTGTAGAGCAACTGCAAAATCAGGAATTTTTTCAGTTTTTGGTCCATTTCAACCCTTTAAATATTATGCGATCATCTCCAAAAGAAATGGGGTTATATTCTGACTCTATTCCCACCTTCATTCTGAATTTCGTGAAGATCGGACAATAATTGCGACCTGTAGAGTGATTACAAATTAACATGTCAGACGGACAGACGGACGGACGGACATACATAGTTAGATCGACTCAGCTCGGCGAAATAGGAAGATCAATATATACTTTCCTATGTGGGAAACAAATATTTCGAGGTGTTACATAATTTTTGGCCCAATCAAACTTATAATACCCCAACACATAGTGTTGTAGGGTATAATAAGGTGCAAGGATTCCAGCAAGTTTGTGTTGGGACTTTGTGAAAAGTATATCATATGCTTGCTACTGATATACTTTTGCTTGCTACTACTAACGAATATAATTTTTATAGAGTACATATTACGGCTTCGGCAAGGCTTAAATATGATTTATATTTGTTTGTTGTGGCATCTATATATATTTGAAATTCAATGATCTTCTAATCGTCTTCTGCTTTTATCTGCAGGTTTGAAAATTCATCAAATTTGATAGGTTGTGGACAAAGATTTTCTGGAGTTAATTGGGTAGGTTTGACAGAGCATCGGTAACTCGAGCCCAATATGTACGTAATTAGTCAATTGACCTAAAAATACTCTGGAGGTAATTTGACTAAAAATACCCTGGTTTGTCTAGACAGCGACGTTTTTCACTGCAATAAACGGAGGGTAGCGTGGCCTCTTTTTATGGCATTCACACTTACATGTATACATTTTTTTTCTTAATTTTATTGTAAATAT